GTCCCAACAGATTGCTGATATCGCTTCCACCTGTCATTTGATGCCGACAAGGCTCGTGCCGTGATTGGTAATTCTGAGGTTCAGGCCGTGCGCGACCTCTTGGTACCGCCCGGGCTGACCCCGTACATTGCTTCAACACCCGCCTCCACGTCTACACTGGCACCAGCCACGGCTGCGAGCTCCCCAACCGTGTCCTTCACCAAGGGTGAGCTCCCCAAGGCGTTGGCGGCCACGAAGGGCGTCACCGATCCCTATGGTTGGTCTGGTGAGCTTCTTGCCTCCATCTACCGCATCAAGGAGCACTTCAGTCAAGTCTTGGGCCCACGCCAGGGTTCTACCAGCGACCCGACTGCTCCTTCTGATGGAGACGCGCCTCAGGGCCCCACCACCGCCACTGGAGGTCCTCAGGTTGCCTTGAACAAGATCTTTCACCACATTGCCAACAACACCGTGCCCGAGTCGATTCGACATGCCCTTTGCTCCATCAACTACACTATCCTGGAGAAGGCCAATGGCAAGTTTCGACCCGTGGGCACGGATTCCATCTTCAACAAGGTTGTCAACCGCGCTCTGCTCGAGCAACAGCAGCCCCATATTGCCCACTTGCTACAGGCCAGTCCAGAGCTGGCCGTCGGAGTCAAGGACGGCATTTCAGCAGCGGTTGGCATGGCCTTTGGTGAGCTTCAAGCCTGTGAGTCTACCCCGGGCTGGACCATGCTCTCCCTCGATTTCAAGAGTGCCTTCAACTACACCGACCGAGCACGGCTGCACGAGATTGTGGCCGACAAGGTCCCTGGCCTCTTGCGCGCCTTTGAACGACACTATGCTCGACCCACTACCCACTGCATTGTCGACAAATTCTTCAAGGTGATTGACATTGATGTTGGCCAAGGCATTGTGCAGGGCAACGAGCTATCGCCCTTCTTCTTTGCCCTGTACTCCTGTGAGGTCCTGGGTCTCCTCGACACCACCACTGACTACCGCTGCAAGGTCATCAAGTACCTCGACGACATTGTACTGATGGGTCCCGCGGAGGACGTGGCGGCCGACGTCGAGATTGTCAAGGCTCGTGCAGAGTCTGCTGGCCTTCATCTGCAGCCCAGTAAGAGCCGCTTCTACATGCCTCGCCACCATTCGGCTTCCATCACTGCTATCAAGTCTGTATTGCCAGATGCCGTGCGCGAGACGGCCAACACGGGCATGACGGTCTTGGGAACGCCGATTGGCCGTCGCGAGTGGATGAAGAAGCAGCTGAACGACAAGGCAAAGCACATTGCTGGCAAGCTCAATGACATGCTGACGACCGGTGTCTCGCTTCAGGCCCTCCTCACGGCCATGCAGTACGTGCCTAGCCTCATCAACCACCTCTACACGCTGCCCCCAAGTCTCACGTCGGGCTTGTCCGAGCTCTTGAACCGTGCTTGCAAGGACACCTTTGTCAAAGCCTTTTTTGCCAAGGTAAACCTGTCTGCACCGGCTGGAGCTGAAGGTCATGACGTTACGCTGGAACAGCTCCTTGAGGCTCGCCTCTTCACACGGGCCAAC